AGACATGCGCCATCCTTCCATAGACACACAGGGGCCTTGTTTAGTCTGTCTGCGTGTCTGTGCACCAGAAGCATGTAGGGCCCTTGGAGGCCAGAAGAGAACATTGGATCCCCAAGAACTGGATTTTCAGTTGTGAGCTGCCATGTGGGTACTGGGAATTGAACCCAGGACATCTGGAAGAGCAGTTATGGTCTTAACTGCTAAGCCAGCTCTCCAGTTCCTTGGTCTTATTTCTTTTGCAACAGGGTGTCATATAACCCATGCTAACCTTGGTCACCATTCTGCTGAGGACCCTTTTGCTTTCACCTCCCAATGAACTTTTTGTATGTGGATGTGTGTGGTGTGTGTGGTGTGCATGTGCATGGGGTGCATTACGCGGGGTATGTGTGCATGTGTGTGGTGTGCATGTGTGTAGTGTGCATGTGTGTGGTGTGCATGTGCTGCAACTTAAATGAGAATCTTCTCCCCACCCCCGGTTCAATTGTTTGAATACTTGGTCCCTAGTTGGAACTATTTTGGAAGGATTAGGAGGTGTGACCCTGCTGGAGGAGGTGTGTTACTATGAGCAGGTTTAATTTAAAAAATGACGAAAAAAGGAGGCTAAGAATTCAAAGGAGAGCAGGGTATATGGGAAGGCTTGAAGGAAGAAGGGGGAGATGGTAGTGTTGTATTACAATCTCAAAAAATAATTTGAAAAGTACCTATTTTGTTTTTCAAGGCAGGGTTTTTCTGTGTACCCCTGGCTCTCCTGGAACTCACTCTGTAGACGATGTTGGCCTTGAACTTGAGAGATCTGCCTCTGCCTCCCAAGTGCTGGAATTAGAGTTGTGCACCACCATTGGTTGGCTTAGAAGGTGCTTTTTTATCCAGGAAAGTAACGCTCTTCATCTGAGCCCAGTTTCTACAGCGGTAGGCACGGAAAGGCGGACAGCTGCCCACACGACTTGGTCAACTTAGAATCAATGAATGATAGATTGACAACTAAATTGCATATACATCTAGCCATGGATTTTGTTTCGGAGATAGGGTCTCCTTATGTAGCCCTGGTCACTCTATAGACCAGGCTACCCTCAAACTCAGAGATTCGCCTGCCTCTGTCTCCTGAGTGCTGGGTTTAAAGGTGTGTGCACCACATCTGTCCTCATCACTTCTTAGCAACACTAAAATCACAAGTTTGGCCTTGCAAATAGAGGTTTATTATAGTAAGGAAGAGGACACACAGCCCATTCAGTTTTCAGGAGCAGACTTTCAAAATATATGCCGACAGAAAGGAGCATCAGAACCCGTTCCCACTACTCGAGCTATGCTCACGTTATCACACTGTGCTTTGGAGATAATGCTGCCAGAGAGGAAAAACAAACAAACAAGACATCAGTGCACAGGTGGGAGGGGCAGCGCCAGCTGGTGCCGGGTGGCACAAGCCTTTTATCCCAGCACTCAGGAAACAGAGGCAGGCGGATCTCTGTGGGTTTGAGGCCATCCTGGTCTACAAGAGCTAGTTCCAGGACAAGCTTTAAAGCAACACAGAAATCCTGTCTCAAAAAGGAATAAAAAATACTTCAGAAGATTTTTATTTATTTACAGTGTGTGTATTAAAGAATAACCTGTGGGAATCAGCTCTCTCCTTCCAAGTAAGATCCGGAGACTCAGCTCAGGCTGCCAGCTTGGTGGCAACCGCCTAACCTGCTGAGCCATCTCAGATTATTTTTGTGTAGCTGCACACATTGGCAAAGGCAGACTTCCTAGCATGAGTGCCAATTCCAGCCTCCTGTGCTAGGCCTCCGTCACAGTTCTCGGATCTCTGACAGGGCTATCTGAACTTAGCAATAAGAGAAGCCCGGTGTGATGTCGCATGCCTTGAATCACATCAACTTAGAGGCTGAGGCAGGAAAACAGATGAGTTTGAGACAGTCTGAGGTTAGTGTAGGCTACACAGTGAGACTTTGACTCTGACACAGACAAACAAAAAAAAATTTTTAATTTATAAATTCATTTAAAATTGAATTCTGTTCCCCTAGCTATACTCGGTCTACTCAAAGTGGACATAGCAGAAGCATCAACGCGTCCCTTGCCATCAGGTGACGTGGAGACGTGCATCGCAGTCCTGTCAATCATGCTCATTTCCTATTAATGAGGGGCATAGCTACCACGCTTTCTCTGGAGCTCATAAACATCAAACCTTCCCCGTGAGTGCGAATCCAAGTCCACACCTCTCCTGCTCCTGGCCCTGCAGACTCAGGGAGCCTGTCATCCATTTCTTCCTCTGCACTAAGTTGAGTAAAAATAAATAAATAAATAAATAAATAGCAACCCTTCCCCCTCCCCCCACCAGGCATGTTAAGAATACAACAAAATGCCCTCAAGTTTTGGGGTAAAGTTCATTAGCAGAATCCATACTTTACATGTGCAAGACCCAGATTCACTCCCCCAGCACAAGAAAGACACATACCTCCCCCAAATTGGTAAATCTACAGAGGCAAAAGCTGATCAACCCAAACACATTAAATTCCAAATATTCACAGTAGATACATCAAAATCAAATTTCTAAAACCTGAGCAAAATTTGGGCAGTGGTGGCACACACCAACTTTAGTCCCAGCACTCTGAAACCCTGTCACGGGGGAGGAGGGGGATGACAAACAACACTAAAAACGTGAATCAGAGGCCCTGACACCTGGATCTACAGAGTGACAGACTCCAGTGACAGTAGCTCTCTCAGCGTCAACAGAAGGCGGAAGGACACAGAAAAGCCCTTTCCAAATCCCGAAAGAGAATAAAATGATGACAATCGAAAGACTGGGGCTGAGGGAGCAATCTTTGGATACATAAAGCTTTAGGCTAGCCTTGGCTACATAGCAACTTCCAGGCCAGCCTGGGATATAAAAGATGTCTCAAAATGACAACCAACACACACACACACACACACACACACACACACACACACACACACACACTTTAAATAGCGAAGGCCTTCTTGACCAAAACAACAAAACTAAGAGTTATCACAATACTAGATTTTAAAATGCATCACGCAAAGCTACTGTGAGCAGAGCAGAATGGCATTGCCATAGAAACGGGTCCATCAGAGCCCAGTCACAGAACCCACACATGCATGGTTAACCGGTTTAAGGGAAACAATAGTCTCTCCAATACGGTATTGAAGAAGTTAGCTAAACACCACATTCTTGTATCACCCACTAATCAGTAATTCAATAATTATCTCGGAACAGACTCGAGGTAAGATCAGACCCAAAACTTGGAAACGACTAAAAGCAAATCTATAGAAAACGTTTTGTGACTCTGGGCTAGGCTAGAGTTCTTGGCTAGGACCCCAAACACAGGCGACCAAACCAGGAATTGGCAAATGGGATTGGACCAAACTGAAAAGCTTATCCACAGCAAAGTGAAAAAAAAAACAACAAAACAAAAACAAACAAACAAAACAAAGAGAATAAAGAGAAAGCCCACAGAGTGGAAAAAATGTTTTTAAAATAAGGTTTCACTATATAGGTTAGCAATGAATTTGAATGTAGCCCAGGCTGGTTTCAAACTTGAGGTAATCCTTCTGCCTTAATTTCCTGAGTGGTGAAATTATAGGTGTGTGTTCCCATATCTATAGGGAGAAAATATCATTAAGTCATACATGTAATATAAATTATAGTGGTAAGTTGTCATGTGTGTGTTGTTGACCTTGTTGAAAATGGACTTGGTATGGGCAATGGTGGCCTACACCTTAATCCCAGTACTCAGGAGACAGAGAAAGGTGGATCTCTGAGTTTAAGGCTAGCCTGGTCTACAGAGTGAATTCCAGGACAGCCAGGCCTATACAGAGAGACCCTGTCTCAAAAAAACAAAACAAAACACAAAAAACAATTCAAAGCGAACTTTTCCCCTACTTTTGGAGACTGGGAGTAGGGCAACGGGGTGTTTTACTAAATTGTCCAAGATGGCCTGAAACTTGCAATCAATACTTGCCTCAGTGTGCTCAGTGCTAGGAATTGGCACGTACCAGCACACCTTGCTCATTGAGAATAATTTGGATGAAGGCAAGTAAAACTCATGGGAAAAGTTAGCCAAATGGAGATAAAAAAAAAAGCCAATTCCATGAATGAAGCAACCCAAGTGGGTGCAGAACTCAGAGGCCCATTCTACCATTAAAGACAAACTGTGAAGGCATAGTCTCGTTTCTACTGTGGGAGTCAAACTGCTGACGTGTAGCTGTATGTACCACAATCACAAGAATTAGCAATTCTCCCTGACCCCCGCCCCCAGACAGGGTGTTTCTCTGTGTAACAGCCCTGGCTGTCCTGGAACTCTCTATAGACCAGGCTGGCCTGGAACTGACAGAAGACCCATCTGCCTCTGTCTCTCAAGTGCTAGGATTAAAGGTATGTAATGGACTGCTCTGTCCCTTTAGGAGACAGGCTATGCCCACTCCCTCCCCCCATCTGAAGCAAGCTGATCTTGCTTGAGTCTCTTCCCTTTTCCATCTCCCTCTCAAAGAGGCAGCTTCTGTCTCTCCCCATTTCTCCCCTTCCTCCCTCTGTTTCTCTCTCTCTCTCTTTCTCCCCTTCCCTTCTATAACCCACTAAATAAATATCCAACCTCACTCTACAAGGCGTGCCTGTTGGAGGTCTCTCACCCACCATGAGGCTCCCTGCCTGGCTGCCTGGAACCCTCGGCCTGCTGCAGCCTCCAAGGATCTGCAGCATTTTACGTTACAAGGCATACATTATGCCTAGCCAATTCTCATCTTCTTTTTGGTTTCAGATGACTTTTCAGTTAGTGCAGACTGGTCCCCAAACTTCCTACATAGCTGAAGATGTCCTTGGACTTCTGGATCCTCCTCCACACACAACACAATACTAGCTTTTATGTGATGCTGGGATCATAAGCCTAGTCATATCTTTTTACAGAAAGTAAAATGCACTTTAAAAATGCATTTTTATTCAGAAGTTTTTAAATTATTACTAAGGTAGAGTTTAAGTTGCAAAGCAGAGCTTACCTTGGTGGTCCCACATGTGTCTCGTTTTGCATGTGGTAACACTTCCTGAGGTTTAGCCTTCTCTCCTCCCACATGTACACATCCAAAGAGCCATCAGTAAATGTAGAAATGACGTGGAGGGAATCCTTCAAAGGACATCTGGATGTGAGTGGACAGGAGTCAAGGTCACATCAAAATACAGGGGAAGGGCCCGTGAGGTGGCCCATCAGGTAAAGGCACTTGCTAGTGAGCCTGGTACTCTGAGTTCCTTCCCTCGAGTCTGTGGAAGGGTGGAAGGAGAAAAGTACTAACTTCAGAAAACTGGCCTCTGGCCTCTGCATGTGCATGCATATGTACATGTCCCAACAGTAATAAGTTAAAAATCATAAATTCATACAGGTGGTGGTGATGCCCGCCTTTAATCCCGGCACTCTGGGAAGCAAGGGCAGGCGGATCTTTGTGAGGCCAGCCTGGTCTACAACAGCTAGTTCCAGGACAGGCTCCAGAGCTACAGAAAAACCCTGTCTCAAAAAACCAAAAAAAAAAAAATTTTAAATCTGTAAAGAAAAATAAAAAAGCCCACAGGAAAGGAGGAGTCCCAGACATACCCAACTGGAAAGGAGGCACCTAGACACACCACACTGGAAAGAGGCATCCCAGACATACCCCACTGGAAAGGAGGCATCCCAGACAGACCACACTGGAAAGGAGGCACTCAGACAGACCACACTGGAAAGGAGGCACCCCAGACAGACCACACTGGAAAGAAGGCATCTCAGACATACCACTAGTAATTTCATGGTCCTTTGCAAGCAACCTTCAAATCTCTGCAGCTGGATGCCTTGCATGTTGTAGACAAACAGAGAGGACTTGCTTGAAAACACAATCGCATTCTTATCGCTGACTCCCATCCATCCCAGGCTCTCAATGTAATATGGTAACCGGAAGGCTGCAACTTTATGAACTGCTGCATGCAAAACACACAAAATGCGTGGGCAACTTCTGAATCATTGCAACTTCATGCACTGCTCCATATAAAATACAAAATACGTGGGCAACTTCTAAATCATACCCCTACTTCCATGGGACTCTAACCTGGTAGAGACCATGAAGACAGTCCAGTGGACTGATAGATGCATGGCCTTGACCATGGAAGTGCAGGCTATGACACCGACAGTGTGAACAATCAATAATAGCCCGAACACTGGAAAGACACCTGTACTGAGAAAGGACCTTAGAACCCAGTGCCTAATACATGATAGAAATGTGTTGTGGGACAAAGACCTTGTACCCTGTCAATTGTATTGTTTTAAAAAAATGCTGATGCTTTTTTTTTTAATTGAGAGAGGGACACATGCTCCCTCTAGTTCTATTGGCTGTACAGCTTTGACCAAGAAAGCAGGAATTGGCTTTTTATTTGTGTTCCAGACAATCTATCTCACTACACGGCCCGGGACTTCTTTCTGAAGACTTCCATGAAAGTAGTCAGCTACCCAAAATATCCTGCTGCTGCTGCAATTTTAGAAAAAATAAAATAAAATAAATAAAAATAATAATAATAAAAAAAAGTGCTGATTGACCAGTAGCCAGGCAGGAAGTATTGGCCGGGCAACTAGGCAGAAAGAGGCGGCTAAAGAGAATAGAAGAATTCTGGGAAGAGGAAAGAGTCGGTCTGCTGTTGTCACAGAGAAAACCAGACACAGAGGAAGCAAGATGAGACTGCCCCCCTGATAAAAGGTACCAAGCCACGTGGCTGACACAGACAAAAATTATGGGTTAATGTAGGATGTAAGAGTTAATAAGGCTGAGCTAGTAGGCCAGCCAGTTTATAATTAATATAGACCTCTGTGTGTTTCTTTGGGTCCAGGCAGAACAGAAACCTCTGTCAACATAAATGGAAATATGCTGCCCAAGAGAGCAGGGTAGAGTGTAGTGACCAGTTGAATGCGGCCAGCAAAGAGGCTTGGGCTCACGGTTAGCTAAGGCGCCTTCTGCTCCCTTTACAAAGACTTGCATCATCACGGGGATACACGCCTTTAACCCCAGAGTCCAATCATGGGGATACACGCCTTTAACCCCAGAGTCCAATCATCACAGGGATGCACGCCTTTAACCCCAGAGTCCAGTGGATAACTAAGTTCAAAGGTCAGCCTGATCTACAGAACAAGTTCCAGGACAGCCAGGATTATACAGAAACCCAATCTCAAAAAAAAAATAAGTAAATAAAAATTAAACAACCAAAGTCATGCATTTGTGACTTCATATGAGTACTTCTGGGAGAGATAAGAAAATAGCGTTTGTTTTAAACTTAAAAATTGTATTTACATGATTGTTTGTGTGGGTATTCATGCCACAGGCACACAAGTGACAGTCAGGGACAACTGGAGGGGTTTAGTTTAATTCCCATATGGTGAAAGGACTAAGCTATAAGGCTTGGCAGCTGAGTGTCCCTGTGTCTAGGACAGTGGTTTTCAACTTTCCTAATGCTGAGACTTTTAATACAGTTTTTCATGTTGTAGTGACCCTCAATCATAAAATTATTTTTCATCGCTACTTCATAACTAATTTTGCTGTTATGAGTCAAAATGTAAATATTTTTTGAGGGGGCTGGAGAGATGGCTCAGTGGTTAAGAGCATTGCTTGCTCTTCCAAAGGTCCTGAGTTCAATTCCCGGCAACCACATGGTGGCTCACAACCATCTGTGGTGAGGTCTGGTACCCTCTTCTGGTCTGCAGACAGAATATTGTATACATAGTAAATAAATAAATATTTAAAAAAATATTTTTTGAGACAGAGGTTTGCCAAAGGGGTCATGACCCACAGATTGAGAACCACCTCTCTAAGTCATTTTGACGATCCCATAATAAAGGGGTTTTGTTGTTGTTTTGTTTTGTTTTGTTTGTTTGGTTTGGTTTTTGGTTTTGTTTCATTTTTGTTTTTGTTTTTTTGAGACAGTTTCTTATGTAACAGCCCTTGCTGGTCTGGAACTCACTTTGTAGGCCAGGCTGGCATTGAACTTGCCTCAAACTCACAGAATTTGCCTGTTTCTGCCTCCTGCGTGCTGGGATTAAAAGGTGTACACCACCATTCTTGGCCTTTTACTGTTTTAAGCTATCATTAGCGTGTGCATATCTATGTGCATGTATGCACGAAGGCGCACATGCTAAGCCCCCTCACCAGCCTGATCTTTGTTTTATGAGATGGCCCTTTTGTGAAGCTTTCCAGCTGTAGGCTCCCAATTTGAGGTATGTGTCATCATGCCTGGCTTGAGAAATTTTTAAGGTGGCGAGGTTTACCTCTAACATCTATTTTGCTCTTGTTTTTTTCCATTTTTATATCATACGTGGTAAATCCCAAGGCTCTGTGAGGGCCTCTCTGGAACATCAGCGTTATCCTGTCTTCCCGCCATGGGGTCCAGAAGGTGCTGTCGCATAACGTAGGTGTTATAGCGGCAAGCACGGGGGTGGGGTACTCCATTGGCCTCAGTAAGCTGTTCATCAAAAACACCTGCGGAGAGAGGGTTGCACAGCAGAGTTGGTAAGAGCAGCTCAGTGGGGGTCTGGCACGCCCGCACCTGGCGGGGAGGGGCTTTAGAGAACCGGCCGGTGTGGCTGGCTCCATCTGCCACTGCAGACAGGGCCCAGCAGTCATTGCTTCTGCTTAATGAAATTGTAACTGTCTTCCTGCCTCTCCTGCCATGTTCTGAGACAGAAATAGAATGGAGTCCCTGACCTAGGTCACAGGGTGATTCAATGACCCTCACAACGAACTCCTCATCAAATAAAAGTAGAGGGCCAGTTCAGAACTGATTTTTTTGTTTGTTTTTTTAATGAGGAGGCATTGAGACAGTCTGAGCATAACCCAGGCTGGCTCTGAAAGTACAGCAATGTACAAAAAGCAAATAGATATGCATGGGCCCTGAGGAAGGGCTTGGCCTCTGAGCAGACCGTCTGCCTCCCAGTACCTATGAACTAGCACCAGAGAACAGGGAGTTAAGAGGGAAGGGAGTAGAAAGAGCACCGGTTACATGTGGGTTCCCTCTTTTCCCTCGGTCCATCAACCACGGGGGCAGAAGCAGCAAGCAAGGCCTTGTCCGGGCTGTGAGCAAGACAGAAATACCTTCCGGGAGACTGCTTTGGTGTTAGAATTCAGCTTTATTCCAGAGTAAGGAAAATACACAGGAAGGGGACAGTGGCTGGGGCATCACCTAATTTGTATTAGACAGCACCCTCCTATCCTAAGGCTCCGAATGTGGCAGCAGGGTCCTATCCTAAGGCTCCGTCCAACACAAGGTCTGTTTATCTTTTGGGCAGCAGGCAGAAAGCTTCAAGCTTCTTCAGGGAACTGTGTCAAGGGCCACACCTGAGATAAGTCAGGCACCGTGCTTAGAGACATTCTCCAAACAAGGTTAGACTACAGAAAGATAGCAGGAAGAATTCAGGGGGCGGGGAGGGAAAGGGGCAGCAAGGGACAAGTCCTCCAAATTGTGCCTAGTTCGGAGAGAACTGCCGGGCCATAGTCATGACTGACTGCAACATCTGACCAGCAGGGCCTCCCAACAGGTTCGGTGGCCCATATCTGAAATCCAGCACTAGAGGTGGATTCCTGGGGAGGATAGGAGCACAGTCCAGGAAGATTGCTGTGAGTTCAGGGCCAGCAAAGTAAAGGCCTCCAGGGACCCTTATTCTACCTGTCTTTGGCTGAGCCAGGTTTCAAGGACACTAATAGACATTTGCCGTAGTGACTGAGCAGTGTTGCTTCCCAGAGCATCACTTCTGACTGAGGACAACAGGGTCCAGGAGAGAGGAGCGGTCTGTCTAGTCCTCCCTGAGGGCAGGACCATCCTTGACTCTCCTGCCCAGAAGTTGAAGGTGCTGGAACGGACCTACCTTTGGAGAGATGTGTGGATGTTTCTTATTCAGGAAGACCCATGTCTTCTGAGGAGAGCAACAGAGAGTGTCAATAGTGTCCTTCAATGCAGGAAGTCTAGAAACAAGTTGTAATTCGGGAATCCGTGTCACCTGTCTGAAATCAAAGCACCAGCAGTCAATCAGTAGGAAAACCTGAAACATGAAGGAAGCAGCACTGGCAACTCTGAGACGCACCAGCCTGCCCCCCAGAGTGGCTCAGACAATCCCACCAGGTAAGACTTCCTACGAGCCCAGGGAGACAGCTCAGGCGTACTGTGCCTGCCTCGGGTGGCTCACCCTTGCCTGCTCCAAGGGGTCTGAATCTCTCTCTTCTTGACTTTGTGGGCACCTGTACTCACATGCACAGACCTACACACAGTCACATTATTAAAAATAGACCTTTAATCGGGGCCATGGTGGCATGTGCCTTTAATCCCAGCACTCGGGAAGCAAGGGCAGGTGGATCTCTGAGGCCGGCCTGATCTACAGTGCAAGTTCCAGGACTGGCTCCAAAGCTACACAGAAAAACACTGTCTCGAAAAACAAAACAAAAAATAGATTTTTTAAAAAATGAGACATGGGGGCTGGAGAGGTGACTCAGAGGTTAAGAGAACTGGCAGTTCTTCCAGAGGACCTGAGTTCAATTCCTAGCACCCACACGGTGGCTCACAACCATCTGTAATGAGATCTGGTGCCCTCTTCTGGCATGCAGACGTGCATGCAGGCAAAACACTGTAGGCATAATAAATTAAAAAAAAATATATCTACAGCCAAAAAAGAAAATTTTAAGAAATAAAAAAATGAGAGCTTCTGGGACTGGAGAGGTGGCTCAGCGGTTTTTGAGAGCAGCACCCACACAGGAGCTCACAACTGCTAACTCCAGTCCTAGGGGCTCCAATGACTTCTTATTCTGACCTCCAAGGGCACTAAACATAGTGCACCACCAGGCCCAGGATGATTTTTTTAAATATTTATTTATTTATTATGTATACAATATTCTGTCTGCCTGTATGCCTGAAGGCCAGAAGAGGGCACCAGACCTCATTACAGATGGTTGTGAGCCACCATGTGGTTGCTGGGAATTGAACTCAGGACCTTTGGAAGAGCAGGCAATGCTTCTTAACCGCTGAGCCATTTCTCCAGCCCCGCTCCAGGATGAATTTTTTTTGTTCGTTTTTCAAAACAAGGTTTCTCTGTGAAACAGTCATAGCTGTCCTGAGACTTGCTCTGTAGACCAGGCTGGCCTCAAACTCAGAGTTCAGCCTGCCTTTGCTTCCCAAGTGCTGGCATTAAAGACATGTGCTACCACTGCCTGACTACACAATTTTTTTTTTTAAAAGAGACTTTTACAGGGCGGTGTTTCACACCTTTAATCACAATACTTGGCAGAGGCAGGTGGATCTCTAGGTTCGAGGCCAACCTGGTCTACATAGTGAGTAGTGAGCTTCAGGACAGCCAGGACTACACAGAGAAACCCTTCTCAAAAAACAATCAAAAAACAAAACAATATGACTTTTTCAGGGCATGGTAGCATATGTCTTTAACCCCAGCACTCAGGAGATAAAGGCAGGCTAATCTCTGAGTTTGAAGATAGCATGGTCTACACAGTGAGTTTCAGGCCAGCCAGGACTACATCATAAGACTTTGACTCAAATACACACACATATATGAGGAGGGAGATTTTCTAAGTCCTAAACCACTCTTCCCCAAGGACTCACTGGGGTGTCAACATTATACTTTTTCCTTATTATCTGATAAAATTCACAGTTTTCTCTCCACTATTTCTTTCCAAATTATGGACTCCACATTCGTAAATATTTGAGTGCTGGAGAGATGGCTCAGTGGTTAAGGGCACTGGCTGCTCTTGCAGAAGACCTGGGTTCAATTCCCAGCACCCACACAACAGTCCACAACTGTCTGTAACTCCAGTGCCAGGGAATCTGATACTCTCATGCAGATGTACATGCAAGGAAAACACCCAGTACACATAAAACAAGAATAAATAAAACATTAAAAATAATAATAAACATTTGAAAGAAGCAAAAATGTTGTCTGAGGTTTTCTGTCCTGCCTGGTTCCTGCCCAGTTCCCGCAATTGTTAAGTCCCAAAGAAATCACACAGAGGTCTACATTAGTTATAAACTGATTGACACATTAGCTCAGGCTTCTTATTAACTCTTTTAACTTATATTAGCCCATTATTCTTGTCTATGTTAGCCACATGGCTCAGTACCTTTTTCAGCGAGACAGTCATAGCTTGTTTGCTCTGTGGCTGGGTCAGGACTGCTGAGGAATGGACTTTCTTCTTCCCAGAATTCTCCTGTTCTCATTGACCCACCTCTACTTCCTGTCTGGTTGTCCCGCCTATACTTCCTGCCTGGCTACTGGCCAATCAGCAGTTTATTTAAAATATAATTGACAGACTACAGACCATTGCCCCACACCACAAAAATGTAAAATCATTTAGAAAAATTGTGTGTTGTATGTATATTTGTGCATGTGTATGGAGATGTGCACACCTGTGCATACAGATCAGGCATCCTGCTCTCTCGGTCTCCACCTTATTCCCTTGAGGTAGTCTCTTACTGAACCTGGAGCAAGGCAGACTGGCAGCCAGCAAGCCCCAGTCACTCTTTTGTTTCCAACCCCAACAGCACTGGGGCCGCCGGCACACTTAGGTACTTTTTATTACCCACTTTTTATGTGATTGCCAGGGATTTGAACTCAGGTCTTCACGCTTGCACAGCAAACACTCCTACTCACTGAGCCATCTCGCCCCAGGCCTCCAGAAAATTGTTTTAAATTTTTAAAAACGCGGCTTAGGGGCACAGTGAGGGTGGCACACGTCTCTAATCCCAATACTTGAGAGACAGAGAGAGGCAGGAGGATCTCTGAGTTCCAGGCCAGCCTGGTCTACAAAGCAAGTTCTAGAACAGCCAGGCTACACAAAGAGACCTTGTCTTGAAAAACCAAACCAAAACAAAACAAAGAAAAGCAAGATGACTTAGGAATGGTACATGAGGTTAGCTCAGCCGTCTTTTATCCGTGTGCTGTGACTGACTCTCAGGTTTGCAGAGACAACTCCGAGAGGACAAACAGATTTGACAGTGATGGGACCTCAAACTGGCCAGTGTTTTGTTCTGTATGCCTACTCTAGATTTGGGGGTTGCTTACCAAGACAAATGGGCCATCCTTTGTAAGAACAGCTTCCAGCGACCCACAGGAGGCAGACATGGCATTAGTCGCCAGAGCATCCCTGTCATGACAGTTCCACACCTTGATGGCTGCTTCCATATTTATGGTGATTGCAAAGTGTATCTCAGAGAGCGTAGCCACTTTCAATCTGGGCAGACTGTGCTGGGCTTTCCCAGGTCATAACACCCTGCGGAACAAGGGCAGTCGTGTGTCTGAGGAGCTATTTCCACTGCTTTCACCCACCAACTTTAATTGGAAGCCTTTTCCAGACTGGAACCACTTCTTACACGCAAAGGACATAAAAATTCTAAGTATCTCTAGCTAGGCATGGTGGCACACGCCTGTCACCCCAGCCCAGAGAGGCAGAGGCAGGAGGAATACTGTAAGTTTGAGGCCGGTTTGGTTTACATTATCGAGTTACAGGCCAGTTGGGGCTACACTACAAGGATATCTCAAAAAAGAAAAAAGATACAACAAAAAAGAAAACTATAACCATCTAGATTACTTATGGGGTGGGAGTGGACATGAAAACAGGACATATATTCTATGCCCAGAGGTAAGCATTCACTCCACAGACTGTAAAGAAAAACATGGCTGGTGATTTGCCTCAGCAGGCACTTGCCCGCAAACCAGATGATACGAATGCAATCCCCAGGAACCGCATGGCGGAAGGAGAGAACTGACTCTCACAAACATGTATGAAGAACAGTCACCCTATACCAGTTTAGCCTTTTACTAACAGTGTAGCATGCATTGCCTTCTTATTGCCATGTCTCGTGGGGCTAGTGTTTGGTTGGTTTTTTTTTAATTTATTTTATTTATGTTTTTGAGATGGTCTCTCTACAGTCCTAGTTGTCCTGGAACTCATTATATGTAGACCAGGCTGAACTCAAGCTCAGATTTCCATGATAGGGGAGTTCAGCCAATCATATTCTGTCTGTGAGGCGTGTTGCCCTAAGGCAAAAGTTTACCTATAAACCTGGAGGGTGCACCGCCGCCCCCCCACCCCCACCCCTTGCTCTGGCCTGGATTCAGCGTTCCAGACGGTTGGAATTCTGGTGTTAGTTTTTCCTTCTGTTTTATTAAAGCTGTATCTTTTGTAAGATAGTCTGGGGACTTTTCATTACTGATCGCACTGTGTCTTCATTTCCACCTGCCTCTGCCTCCTGAATGCTGAGGTTAAAGGCCTTGGCCACCACTTCTGGCAGTATTAACTTTGGTTTGTTGGGTTTTCAAGACTTGGATTCTCTGTGTAGTCCTAGTGTCTTGGAACTTACTCTGTAGACCAGGCTGACCTCATCCAACTGCCTCTCCCTAATGCTAGGATTAAAAGCATGCACCAACATACTCCACTTAAAATTGTTTTATAACACACAAAACCTGTTCACAATGACTTAATCATCACAAAATTTGTTATTGTATCACCAGCTCTTATACATCGAAAATAAAAATCAGCTTCTCTTTCAGGCTTTTCTTTAGCTTAGAAACATCATACACACATACGCACACACACACACACACACACACACACCACACAAACACCCACCACCACCACCCAAAAAGCCAAAAGCATAAATATTAAGGGAATTTAATAAAAATATAGACAATAGGGCTGGACAGATGGCTCAGAGGTTAAGAGCATTGCCTGCTCTTCCAAAGGTCCTGAATTCAATTCCCAGCAACCACATGGTGGCTCACAACCATCTGTAACAGGGTCTGGTACCCTCTTCTGGCCTGCAGGCACATATACAGACAGAATATTGTATACATAATAAATAAATAAATATTTGAAAAAAAATATAGACAATAATCAATATGACCATTTCTAAGCCCTAACTCCATTTGCATGGGAACTATTAGTAACCCCTTTCTTCCCCTAAACGCAATCTCCCCTTTGAGTTAATCTTTCACTAAAATGCGACTCCCACTTTGATTCTTTTGAAAGGTAACCCATCAAAGTGTTTAGTACCATGTAGCACAGGACTCTAAGTCTCAAGAGGCTGAAGTCAAGTTCCACACTTAGCTCTCTGCCAGGTAACCTAATCCATCATTGTATCCTAGCACTTAGGGGCAGAACTAAGAGGGTTCCTATGAGTCTGAGGCCAGGCTAGGCTACCTAGTGAGTTCTAGGACCTTTTGATATTCTGTCTTAATCAATCTCCTAAAAGAGAACAACAAGAAAATAATTTAAAAAACTAAAAAACCTTCGACCTCAAGATCATCCAGTTCATTATAGTACATTTCCACTTTGTTGTGACAATTGACAATGTTTCTAAACATTTGTGACCTAACAAGCCAAACAAAACAGTGACTTAACTAACAAACAAATAAAAACAAAACACATTTGCTGGGTGTGTTGGCTCATGCCTTTAGTCCCAGCACTCAGGAGGCAGGCAGATCTCTGTTTAGTTGGAGGTCAGCCTGGTCGGCATAGTTCCAGAGCAGCCAGGACAACTCGTTGAGACTTTCTCTCAAACAATGTTCATTCTATCACTATATAGCATGGACTCTTTTACCTTTTAAGACAAAAAGAAAAGTGTTTGAGAGCAGAGGATAAGCAGTATGTTCTCTTAGAAGCATTCAGCATTCGTTCACCCACTTCTCCATGGGGGTGGGGGCACAGACACACAGCTGTGTACTTTGATACATGACTACTGAGCACTGGGATTCAACCGTAGAAAAAAATGAAACCTTGCAAACTCAGAACAGGGAAGGTCATAGCAAGATAAAGAATATCGTCACCTACTGCTAGCATCTTCATCTATAAGAAGATCAGTCACCCCCCCCCCCAGAGATAATAAAGAATCTCGCCTACCAGAGCCCCCCATAGAATGCTGTAACCTGGAGTCTCCTCAAGAAGAAAGCTAGCCCTATGTTTATACTGCTCTGGGAGAAAAGCTGCAAACCCAAATATGGGACCCCATAGATTGTCCTGGAGTAGGAAAGCCTGCACACCCCATTCCTGGGACCCCATAGACTGCTCTGACGCCCCATGCCTGAGAGTCAGATAAGTCTACCTGGAACCTCATAGACATTCTACTACACCGGCTCAGCAAATGGCTGTCTCACAAGTCAGAGTACACAAGAAAACTCTTGCCCAAACCAGCAGGGAGTGCACAGTGGGGATCTGGTGTCATGATGCAGAAGCAAACCATGGGTACTTTCCTCAAGAACCACAGGCATAGCCAGGCCTGTGTACTTTCCCACAGGGACTAGGGTAAAGAGTAGGGCCCTGTATGGTTCACACTATCCCTCTCCCAGGGCTTTAACAAGGGCTCCCAACCTTTAACAAACCAGATGGGAAAAGAGAACCAAGATTCCCCTGATTCTCCCACACACAGGTGTACTGGTGCTGTGTCAAGCAATGTTGCCACGGCTCCACTGCCTTTCCTCCCCTAAGACACACAGCTTAAGGTCCCAAGAGAAACAATGCCCAGTGCCAGCCGCATTCTGTTCTGTTTAGTTCCTGGGATGAGGTACCCAATCCCTGGTGGCAGAGACCACCATAGGAAGAATCCTGGGGAGAACAGCCTGTGTCTAGTGTCCCATCCCCAGGAGAGCACAGCTCCCGTTCTTAGTTACGCACACACAGGATCAGAAGATCTAAAAATCACAAAATTTTGCTTCTACAACACCTGCGTGGGTTCCCTAAATTGACCAAGCTGTGCCTTGACAAAATTTGTGTGCTGGTACCATGGGGGTCTCTCTATAAAGTCAGTTCTTTAGTAAAATCTATTAAAACTGAGTCAAGAGATATAAAAACACTTAAGAGATCAAGAGCAGGTATCAAAACAAAGCTCTTAACAAAAGGTCTCCCAAGATGCACCTCACCATAAAAAGACAGACACTACCCTAGGGTAAAAGGGTGAAAAAGGAATTCCAAGCAAATGGACCTAGGAAACAGACAGGTACTCTTTTAATGTCTGACAAAATAGACTTCAAACTGAAACTAGCCAGAAGAGATAAAGGTCACTTTATTCTGGTTAAGAAAATGATCTATTGCCAGGCAGTGGTGGCACGTGCTTTAATCCCAGCAGCGGAGTGTCTACGGAGTGGTTTAAGGACAGGCTCCAAAGCTACAGAGAAACCCTGTCTCAAAAAAAAAACAAAACAAAGAAAGATAGGAAGGAAGGAAGGAAGGAAGGAAAGAAGGAAGGAAGGAAGGAAGGAAGGAAAGAAAGAAAGAAAGAAAGAAAGAAAGAAAGAAAGAAAGAAAGAAAGAAAGAAAGAAAGAAGGGATCCATCATCAAGGGGACATTGCAATTTTAAGCATATGCACCAAACAATGGGTACTCAAACTTGAAGAGCAAACACCCCTGGAAAGTTACAGATTAATCCCAGCACGAAAGTAGTGGGTGACTTTAATACCCCACTCTCACCAACTGGCAGGCCATCCTGACAGAAAAATAAACAGAAATACTGAGTTAAATTGCTACATAGGTTAAAAAAACTTAAGACATCTATAGAACATTCTACCCAAATATTGTAGAATATATAGTATATATTCTAAGAGAAATGCTTGTATTCCATCTGATAACACTGGAATAAAGTTATAACCAACAGTCATAGGATCTATAGAACATATGCAAATTCACGAAGATCAAATTAACTGATGAATAGTGAGTGGAGTCATTGAAGAAATCAAAAGGGAACAAAGATTTCTAGAATTGAATGAAGACAAAAACCACAACATAGAAAAACCATCAGATATAGGGAAAGCCGTCCTAAGAGCAAAGCTTACAGATCCAAACTCCTGCATTAACGTATCAGAGAACACCAGAGAGAAGAGAAATCAGAAGGCAAAGGCAGAGGCAGGCGAATCTCTGAGTTCCAGGCTAACCAAGGCTACATAGTGAGACCTTCTCTCAAAACAAACTCTTCTCAGAGAAACCTCAAATAAGTGAATATGCCTGGGAAATAAAACACAGCGACCCCAATGTCAGACATAAATAAATCACTAAGATCCAGGCAAAGGGGCCAGTGAGGTAGGTGGCTTGGCTGGTAAAGGCACTTCCACAAAGACTAAGTTCAGTGTACTGACAACCACAAGACAAGAAGAGGAAACTGACTCCCACAGGTTGTCCTGACCTTCACACACGCCATGGTATTGTAGGCACATGCATGTGCACATACATACACAAATACATGTGTGATAAAGAGATGAGAAGAAATTAATGAAATGAAAATAAAAAACAAGGGGGCTGGAGAGATGGCTCAGTGGTTAAGAGCATTGCCTGCTCTTCCGAAGGTCCTGAGTTCAATTCCCAGCAACCACATGGTGGCTCACAACCATCTGTAATGAGATCTGGTGCCCTCTTCTGGTCTGCAGACATACACGTAGACAGATACTGTATACATAATAAATAAATAAATATTTTTTAAAAAAAACAAACTAAGTAAATTACACAAATCAATGAAATGACAGAAGATAGCCATGATGACAGAGATCAGCAAAATTCTGAAACTCATTAGGCTGTACTTTAAAAATAAATGCTTTCCAATGAATTAGAAAATAAAAATGGATACATTTCTAGGTGTACATGACCTGCCGAAATTAAACTAAGATATGAACAGGAATGTACACATGAATGCATTACCACATACATACACATGCAAAAAGGTAACACAAAGCAAAACAAAACAAAAAGCTGAACAAATAAATACCCAGGGCCAGATTAATTCCCTGGTGAAGTTTACCAAACCTCATAGTAAAACTAACACCAATGCTTCTCAAACCACTGCACACCACAGGGACATTAGGAAGGGACATTAACAAACTTTTATGTGTGCATTCTTTCTTTTTTAGCCTACAGCACCTGATATTCCCAGGTGGTCTCCCATCCAAGTACCAACCAGGCCTGACCCCGCTTAGCTTTCAAGACCAGATGAGATTGGGCGAGTTCAGGGTGGTATGGCTGTAGATGTGTGTGTTTTTTCAAGACAGGGTTTCTCGGTTAACAGTTCTGGCTCTCCCGGAACTCCCTTTGTAGACCAAGTTGGCCTCAACCTCAGAGTTTCACCTGCCTCTGCCTCCCATGTGCTAGGATTAAAGGTGTGCGCCACTACTGCCCCACTTCCAAATTCTTTCTATGAAGCTATTATTACCCAATACCAAACTAGAAAAAAAGACATAGCAAAAAAGGGGGAGGGAGAGCTGCAGGCTGAAGAGTAGCTGAGAGATTAAGAGCACAGGCTGCTCTTCAGAGGTCTTGTGTTCAATTCCCGGCAACCACACGGTGACTCACAGCCATCTGTAATGAGATTTGGTGCCCTCTTCTGGCCTGCAGGGATATATGCAGGCAGAACACTTGATACATAATAAACCATTTGGGCGCACACCTTCCTAGACCTGGATGGAGGGTGGGGCTTTGGACTTCCCACAGGGCAGGGCACCCTGACTTCTCTTAGGACTGGAGAGCGAGGGGGAGGGGGAGTGGGGGGAGTGGGAGGGAAATGGGATGGAAGGAGATGGAAAGTTTTAATAACAACAACAACAAAAAAACAAGCAGTGTGTGTGGGGGGAGAGTAACAGTCAATCCCCCGATGAACATAAATACAGAAATTCTCAACAAAATACTTGCAAATCAAATTCAAGAGTACACCAGGGGGCTGGAAAAATGGCTCAACGGTTATGAGAACATTATTCTTCCAGAAGACTCAAGTTCAGTTTTCAGTGCCTACCTAGGGTAATCACAACTGTCTTGTAACTTCAACTCCAGGGTATCCAACTCCCTCTTCTGGCCTCACAGGTACCTGTACTCATGTGCACAGACCCCCCCCATAGAAAAATGTAAAAATAATAAAAATAAGTCTTAGGAAAAGAATATACCAAGCTGAACGGTGGTGGCTTACACCTTTAATCTGAGCACTTGGGAGGAGGCAGGTGGATTTCTTGAGTTCAAGGCCAGCCTAGTCAATAGAGTGACTTCAGGACAGCCATAGAGTGAGTTCCAGGACAGCCAGGGCTATACAGAGAAACCCTGTCTCAGGGGAAATAGAAAAGAAAAAAAAGAACATACCAAAAAATCACTCCCACAATCAAGTTGACTTTATTATAAAAATGCACACATGGTTTAATATATATAAAATCAATAAGTGTTATAAATTATATAAGTAGACTCGAGGATAGAAATTGAATGTCAATAGATGCAGAAAAGGGCATTATCCAACATCTCATGATATATGTTCTGAAGAAACTCAGAATAGAAGGAACATATTTCAACACAATGAGGGTTGTTCTTGACAAACTGTCCTCGTTAGTTTTTGTTTTATTGGTGATGATTCTGTGTGTGTAAACTTGACACAAACTAGAGTCATCTGAGAAGAGGAACCTCGACTGGAGAACCATCTCCATCAGATTGCTTCTAAGCAAGTCTGGAGGGCATTTTCCCAATTAATCATCAGTGTGGGAGGGCTTGGCCCACTGTGGGCAGTGCCACTCCTGGGTAGGTGGTACTAGGTGGTATTAGAAAGAACTGAGCGAGCTACAGAGTATCCGGAGGTGGATAAGCAGAACTGTCAAATCTTGCCAAGACAGGGTAAGATTTGAAAATTTTCTTGCCTTTAAAAATAATCTGTCAGTCATTCTAGGCCTTAGCCAAAGTTGGTTGCTTCAATGTTGCAAATGTGACTTTGGGTGATTGCCCAGATAGCTAGTTGTCTATGATTTGTTGCATGATTTGTAAGTTGTTTGATTGCACTTCCTAATTACTCAGGTAACATTATTTCCCTTCTCCGATCTTCAATGGGTTAAAGACTAGATGAATGTAGTTATTTTCCTCTTAAGACTTGGCCAAGTTATTTATTATACAGGACTTAAGCTAGTTAGAATAGGATATTTGTTCTTATTGTATATAATTTTGTAGTAGGTTTAGAACTCTCTTATTTAAACAAAAGGGGGAGGTGCTGCGGGAAGGTTCATAGCTAGCAACTACCCGCCTACTGGAGCGTGGCCTCATAGACTATTTACCTGGATGCTGAAGCGCATTCTTCAGGCCCCTTCCTCTCTGCTTCCCCCTGGGCCCTGTTTGCTGTTCAGTTTGCTTTGGATCTGATCTTCATCCATCGTTCAAGCAGAGAATCCTGACTTTGTAAATTTTACCTTTTAATAAACATTGGTCTATTTCTTTGTTCTGAGCAAGTGTGGGATTCCTTTTTTCATAAGCGTGCGATCTCTCCGCCTTCACCCATCCAGTCTCCCGCCCTTTGCACTACTCACCCACCTCTAACTCACTATTCTCTATGTTACTCTCACTATGCTCTGTTCTCCTGCTGTCTCCACTACTCTCTTGCTCCCCTGCTTCCCTAGCTCTGGCCAAGGCCAGCCTGCTGGCCATGTTCAGTCTCCTTCCTCTCTCTGCTCACTGGCTGTTCTCTCATATCTATATTAAAACCATAGTCATATGAGCAGTCACATCCGTAGTTCCTTTACTGTTCCCTCTTGGATGCCCTCAAAGCATTTCCGGCAACATCAGAAACAAGACAAGGAAAGCCACACTTAGTCCACTCTTAACACAGTATGGTACTGTTTTAGCCAAGAAAAGCAAACAAAAGGAATGCCAATAGGAAAGGGAGAAGCTAAAGTAGCCTTATTCGCAAACACTGTGATTCTATATCTTTTTTTTTTTCTGAGACAAGGTTTCTCTGTAGCTTTGGAACCTGTCCTAGAACTAGCTCTTGTAGTTCTAGGCTGGCCTCGAACTCAGAGATCCTCCTGCCTCTGCCTCTTGAGTGCTGGGATTAAAGGCGTGCACCACCACCACCACCACCACCCAGCTGTGATTCTGTACTTAAGAGACCCTGAAGACTCCACCAGAAAACTCTTAGGACTGATAAGCTCCCAGCACATTGACAGGCTACAAAATTAACATTGAACAAAACAAACCAATGGCCTTCCTCTTAGCAATAAAGCAAACGAAGGAAGTGCAACCTCCAGACAACAACCAAACCCTGGAGTAGGGGGCTGGAGCAGTGGTTCAGCAGTTAAGAGCAGTCACTGCGCTTGCAGAGGACCCCAGGTGGGTTGCCAGAGCCTACCCAACATCCCACAGCCGTTTCTGGCCTCTGCCGGCCCCCAGTTGTAACTCACACAGGCATACACACATATAAAATAAAAAAGAAATATCCAAAAAAAAAAATCTGAGAGTAAACCTAACCAAGTAAGTGAAAGCTCTCTAAAATGAAAACTTTAAGACATAGAGAGGCACCGGAGGATGAATCAGCAGGGAACCTGGGTTCAATGCCCAGCACCCAAAGTTTACAACTATCTGTAACTACAGTTCTAAGGAATCTAACTCCCTCCTGTGACCTCCACAGGCACCAGGCACACATGTGGTACACATCCATATATTCAGGAAAACCACTTGTACACATAAAATGAATAAATCTTTTTAAAAAGGGGGGGAGGGGAGAAACCAAGAGTGGAGGTGTGGTGGTGCACACCTTAAACCCAAGCGCTGGGGACGCAGAAGCAGGTCAGTCTGCATCGGGAGTTCCAGGACAGCCGGGCTGTACAAGGAGACCCCATCTCTGTGACAAGAGATGAATTCAGGATTCAGGTCTAGGCCCCTTTAGCTGCTCCTGGGCCAGGTCGAAAGACGAGCCAAGGATATCACCACACAGACAACCGGTCTTCCTTGTCCTTCTTTGGTCAAGCCCCTCCCAGAGAGATAGTGCACATTACCCAAGCCTGCAAGGAAACCCCAACAATATTTGGACACTAGATGCTTGAGGGGTGACTCAAAAAAGGTTTGCTCCCATTTCCCTCTCCCTTTGCAGGAAGGCTCGGGTAACAGCTGGGGAAGGATGAAGAGAGGCAGCCAAACAAGCTGCAGGTTGGCCTCGGCTCAGATTTTTTAACTCTTTAATCTGTTTCTATAGATACAAAACCGGTCCTGGGGACTAGGGTTGTAACTAGGGTCGGTAGAGCGTTAGGTTCTATTCCTAGAATCCCATAAACCCTAATCCCAGCCCTCGTTTGGAAGCAAAAAGATCCAAAATTCAAAGTCATTGCTGTTTGCTATATGGAGAGTTTGATATCAGCCTTTGGTACATGAGACCCTTTCTGAAAAAAAAAAAAAAAAGCCAGGCATGGCGGTGCATACTCTTCCAGTCCCAGGAAAGAGGCAGATCTCAAGTCTGTGAAGCCAGCCTGGTCCTCATATCGAGTCCTCATATCCATAATGAGGCCTTCTCTCGAACAACAAGACTTTCCATCAGGAGATCCCACAAAGTTGTCTTCTGAATACACATAATGTGTATGTACATAATCACACATGCACATGCTAAGAACAATGTAAAAAAATTAAAGTAGCTCTCCATCAGAAAACTGTCACAAGGAAGTTTTTAGGGAAAGGGAAATAACAGCTTATGCTATTTAGAAATTTTCCAATTCACTTTTCTGTATATTCTGGGGAGGATAGGACGCCTCTGGAGAAATGGGGAGATAGGGCTGGGCTGGCTTACGCTGTTACACCATCACTCTGGGTGTTTCCTTCAGATCACAGGAGACAAGACAAGAACCAGTGCTGCTTCCATGGCTAGATGACAACCTCAACCCATTAAATTCTAATTCCCCTTCTCTTATCCAATGAGAATATAAGACTGCATAGAATGGGGGAATATCGACTGGGTGTCCGTACCAAAGTCCCCATGTATTTCTTTGTAGATGAAGTCTTCTGGCTTTGCCCGGGTCATGAAGTGTTCTTGCCTAGTTTGGCGAAGGAAGAACTGCTTCCAAGTCTTTGCGTTCAGGAGCTCTAGGGGGATGTCACAACAGGGTCATCTTTTCAGACACAGCTTCCTGCAAGGCACAGTCACACTATCCCGGTCAGTTCACCCCCTCGGAGCCCCTGTCACACTCCACGAGCTTCTCATCACGTTCATCTTCTTGGATGTATCTCACACACCAGAGGTGCGGGCGAGGGGGGGGGGTGGTGATGGACTCAGAAGCCCCGTCCTGCCCCTTTCCTTACCTCCACAGGAAATCACTGCCTGTAACCTCATGCCAGCTCTGCAGGAGAGAAGGGAGTCCTTAAGTCAGTCAGCAAGCCTCCCCCTGCTCTATTTGTTCTGCACTGGGCTGACCTACACAGGTCCCAGGTCTCCAGGCCCAGCTTGCCTGGGGAGCCCTACCCCAAGCAAACACAAGTCATCTTGTAAGAGCTTGGAGGAAGGATGACCTTTGACCTGGGAGCCTCAAGGGTCTCACATATCAGTGGCACAACTCCACCCATCAGCTTGTTCCTTTAATTTAACAGAATTTTGTTGTTACCATACTGTTTTGCAACAGGGGCTCTCGTAGCCTATGATGACTTTAAATTTACCACTTAATTATGACCCAACCTCCTGGTCCTCTTGCTTCTGCCTCCCACATGCTTCTGTTACAGGTTTGCGCTAGCACACTTGACTCATTTACCAGGATTTGAGGTCTTCAGAGTGGATGATGCTAGCCCACGAGCCCTCAGCGTATCCCTTTGCTGTCCTGTAGTTCAACACTCCCAGTGGTCAAGAGAAGCAAATGAGCTAGTGCGTCAGAGCTGAATGGACAGGTCTGAATAGAGTCAGTTTAAGGAGTGAAGAAAGGCTGTGTGAGTGTGTTGCTGGGGTAGCTAACTCCGTGGCTGGGGGGAGGAGAAGGCCAACAGGGCCTTTTGTAGGAGTATACAAACTGGAGGCGTTCAGGCACAGAGCTGGTCAATTAGACAGCAGTAAAAAGTGAAGAGTCTTTACCTTGTTCACCTGGGCAGCCTGTAGCAAGCTGAAGGCATCCAGATAGGAGAAGATTTCCCATAATGACACACTAGGCAAAAAAATCTCCATCTTTCATGGCCTAAGCCTACACTCGCTCTCCTCCCTGACTTGCTCTGGTTTTAAAGACTTGGCCAAAGACGGCAGCAATTAGCGGGATTGATACCTGCTGCTCATGAGGCTTTGATTGAAGTGAGCTGCAGGGGTGTAGGCTCTCGGCCTGATGTACTTGCCAGAACTTTCTACAAAATATTGAGTAACATGCTCAGTTCACTTGTTTATGTGACGCCCGTTAGGAGGCTCCAAATGGTACAGGGAATCTGTTTTTCATGTTGATGGCTACCTTGAGAACGGAATTAGACCAGTAGGGTCTCCCTCTCAGTGCCAATACAGCCTCTGAGATTTTGCATGTGTGTATTTAGCTTTCTGGTAGAAAGGAGCACCTGAGGAAGACACCTGAAGCCTGCTGCTGACCTCTGTGCACACATGTGCCAGCGTGCGCATACACGCGCACGTGCACTCATGTATATAGGCACTTACACATCACGGCACATGAATTCCAATTCAGCCTAGGCTAAAGAATGAGACTTTGTCTCAAAAAAAGAAAACCAAAAGCCCCATGATGATTTTATTCAAGCATATATTACTAATCAGAAATCAGAATATGTTTTTGTTCCAAAATTACATTCTATGCATCTACAGGATAGAGCGTGTGTCCTGGACCCTAGGGAGCTGCGCTCCTTTGTCCTTTCAGACAAAAACTCAAAGAATCCAGCACTAAACTAGAGTGTGCACACACAGACATATTCATATATGCACACACATAGGCACATGCATGCACACATATACACTATGGTCATATGCATATATACACGAAGACACATGCATACTACATACACACAATGGTCATAGGCATGGCATATATACACATAGACATGCTTTTTAGACTATGCTGTCCACTGATTCAGATTGAAAATAATTTTGAGGACTGCAGACGCCACCACTGACTTTGCTACGACAGGGACGGAGGTTAGAACGTGAAGTGCCCTGAGAAGCCAAAGCAGCAGAAGACAGGGCTACAGGTCACAGTACAAGCCTATGAGGAGTTAAATGCTCCTTGTGCCATACTTTTGTCAATTTCCTTCCTTCCTTCCTTCCTTCCTTCCTTCCTTCTTCTTCCTTCTTCCTTCCTTCCTCCTTCCTTCCTTCCTCCTTCCTTCCTTTCTTTCTTTCTTCCTTTCTTTCCTTCTTTTCTCTCTCCTTTCTTTATTTTATTTTGAGAAAGAGTCTCATTACCTAGCCCTGGCTGACTAGCCTGGAACTTGGTATATAGACCAGACTGGCCTTAGACTCAGAGATCTGTCTGTCTCTGTCTCCCAAGTGCTGGATTGAAAGGTGTGCACCACCATGCCTGGCTTTGAATTTTCTGTTTGCATGTTTGCTGAGCCAGAGGATGGTTCTGACCTTTTCTGAGTGTGTGTCCTGGACCCTAGGGAACTAGGTTCAACAAGAAGCTGTTATCATTCCCTATAACAGCATGAGGCATTGCTACCCCAAACCCCTTAGCAACAGACATTTTCCATCCACATGCGAGATTTGATTAGTTTTACAGTGTATACTTATTTAAGGGTTTTTTTTTTTTTGGTGTGTGTGATTGATTGAGATAGGGTGCCATCCTATGACCCAGACTGGCCTAGAATTGAAACATGAAATCCTCCTACCTGCAGAAGCCAGAAGAGGGCATTGGATCTCCTGGAACTGGAGTTACAGATAGTTGTGAACTGCCATGTGGGTGCTGGGAATTGAACCCAGAGTCTTGGAAGAGCAGTCAGTGTTCTTGACTACTGAGCCATCTCTCCAGTCCCTAAAGAAATAACTTTACTGGTTGTTCCACTGACGGGTCATCCGGCAATGTCACCATCAAGTGACTAGAGAGCTGGGCTGAGAAACGTTTTTGGTGGCCCTGATACTCAGTACACAGTGAGAGCTGAAGATGGTCATTGCTCTAGCTTCCTGAAGCACATTAACAAATGAGTGTAAATGAGATGGGGTATGTGGGAAAAATGCATTCTCTCCCAGGTCTAGTTACTACTTGTCCCTTGGCAGGGCCCTGGGTCTTCTATAAGAGCAGCATATGCTCTTGATTGCTTACCCATCCCCCCATCCCACCGAGCCAGGTGTTTTATCATATTAAGGAACATTCACACCTTTGTCATCAAAGGTAATACAAGTTCCAGGGTTTGGGGCATGGACGTATCTTTTACAAGGCATTGCCAATCAATCCACTGCAGCTATTGAATAAAGATACATTTGCATGTTCACTTTGGTTGAGAATCCCATAATAACCACTTCAACAACATCAGCGAGGGGCTCTGAGCAAGAAAGCACCCAGGTTCTTAACCCACTCCTGATGCAAGCAGCTGTGACCTTGCCGAGGGCAGCAGGAAGACGTGTCTGCAGACGCTGATAACAGACTTGAGGCATTACCAAGCTGTTGCCCTCACAATCTTCCGCTTCCATGTAAGAAGTCTGGCTACTCTGTGGTTCTGTAAAGGGAGAGCAAATCAAGAGACCCTTACAGAGAGACAGGGAGAAGGATGCCTGAGCTCAGATTCTGCAGCAGACATATGAATACAGAGGAATCTGAGGATGACCGCAGCCCGGGACACCACTGGACTGCAACCCGTCAGACCCTGTCCTGGCTAGTTTTACATCAGCTTGACAGAAGCTTGAATCCTCTGAGAGGAGGGAACCTCAACTTAGAAAATGCCTCCAAATTATTGACTGTAGGCAAGCCTGTAGGGCATTTTCTTAATTAGTGATTGATGGGGGAGGACCCAGGCCACTATGGGCGATACCATCCCCAGGTTGGTGGTCCTGGGTTAGGTTGAACAAGCCAGTAAGCCGCACACCTCCATGGCCTCTGTATCAGCTCCTGCCTCTTGATGTGTTTGAGTTCCTGTCCTGACTTCCTTCAATCATGGACTGCAATCTGGAAGTGGAAGTCAAATAAACTTTTTCCTTCCCAATTTGCTTTTGGCCATGGTGTTTGATTGAAGTAATAGAAATCCTGCCTAGGACAGACCCGAAGCAAACACTCTCCTACTCTGACCTCTCGACTGTAAGATACACAAACAAAATGATGGTGCAGCCAATGGTTTTGGAGTGATGTGCCAGTAAGAACAAAATATTTTGAAGTTAAAGTCAGCTAGATTTGGAGATAGACTAGATAGGTAGCAAGGGAGAGAAAGACAAGATGACTCCAAGAATTTGGCGTGAGCAGCAGGTGCAAAAACTCACACGGACAACTTTACTTTTCAATAAAGGTACCAAGGTCATTCCATAAGGAAAATGGTATTCTTCTCAACAATGATTATATTAAACCTGAGTATCTACACAATTAAAGTTAGGAGCCGAGCGGTGGTGGCACATGCCTTTAATCCCAGCACGCAGGAGGCAGAGGCAGATGGATCTCTGAGTTCGAGGCCAGCCTGGTCTACAGCATGAGTTCCAGAGCAGTCAGGGCTCCACAGAGAAACCCTGTCTCAGAAAAACAAAAAACAAAAGGAAAAAAGGTCATGTTGTGGGAGTAACTTCCGCTGCCTCAACCAAGAGTCGCTGAAATACGAGCCCACAGTGCAGCGGGGAGCGAATTCCACTCCGTCAGCCAATAGCTGCTGAAATACCAGCCCACTGGGGCGTGGTATATTTCTCTTTTAAAAAGAGAAGCAGATCCGGATCAGGCTCTCTTGGTTCCGGCTCTTGGTTCCGGTGCTTGCTCCTGGCTCCTGCTCCCGGCTCCTGCGACTTGGCTCCCTTCCTGACGGTTTATGGTGTATGTAAGTTTTACCCCCCAAAATAAATAACCCCTTAAAACATAACTGGTGTGGGATTGATTCGCCGATAAGGTCAGGCATGATGGTGCATACATATAATCCCAACACATGGAAGACTGAGACAGGAGGATCAAGAATTCCAGGCCACTTTGGGCACAATAGAGACCCTCTTCCAAACAAAAAGTTTTAAAAGATTCTGTTTACACGTGTGTGGGTGCCCACAGAGACCAGAAAAGGGCATTAGATCCCCTGAAGCTGGAGTTACAGGAGGCTGTGGGCTGCCCAAAGTAGACGCTGGGAACAGAACTCTGGTCCTTGGCAAGAGCAGTGAGTGCTTTAACCACTGAACCATCTCTCTGGCCTTTTATCCCCCACTTTCCTTTTTCTGTTTTAAGCCTGTGACTCATTGTGAATTTGTTTTTCAACATGGTCTTTAACATATTGCACTGAACTCTTAGATGGGAAACCAACTGATGGCCTACATGCTGATCTATTTCAGATTTGCTGTGATGGTCTAGTGAACCATTTCAGTAATAAATCTATTTGTCTCTTTAGCAAGGCTGGTCAAAGATGATCCTTTTGATTGTTTGATTTTCGAGACAAGGTTTCTCTGTGTCCTAGAACTCACTCTATAGACCAGGCTAGCCTTGACCTCACAGAGATCTGCCTGCCTTTGCCTCCTCAGTGCTGGGATTAAAGGTGTACACCACCACGCCTGGTCCGACAAAGGTGATTTTAATGTCAAGCAGATTCGCAGCTTCAAAGTTGGGTTTTTTTTTCTAAATTTTATTTTTAATATTTATTTATTTTGTGTGTGTGTGTAATGCCTGAGTGTATGTATGAGCACAATCTGTTGGATTTCCTGGAACTGGAGTTACAGATAATTGGGAACCAAACCTGGGTCCTCTGCAAGAGCAGTAGATGCTCTTACCTGCAGGCTATGTCTCCAGCCCCGTGTGTGTGTGTGTGTGTGTGTGTGTGTGTGTGTGCGCGCGCGCGTGCGCGCGCATGTGTGTACACAAATGTGCTGGTGCCTGGAAGGGGGCATCTGATTCTCTGGAACTAGAATTACACGAGGTTGTGAGCTGCCTGATGTGGGTGCTGGAAAATGAACTTCAGTCCTCTGGAAAACCAACAGGAGCTCCTAACTGCTGAGCAACCTCTCCAGTCCCCAGCTATGTGACTCTTAACGTCTTCTGGGACACTTTAATGTTACTTCATTATGTGAATCTGAGC